TGGTACAATATTAGCTACACCTGAAGATGGGAGGAACATCCATGCACTAAGGTGTGCCAGTGATGGATTTCATGACACAAGTTGAATTGTAAACACTGAAATAAGAACAAGTGCCCTTTCCTAAAGGGAGAAACAACACAGAGTATAGCACTGAGAGAATGTTTGGATCAACAGCATGTGTAATGGACTCTTTACCTAGCTGAGATTACTTCCTGATTACTTACCTTTGCTACTGCTGCTCCACCTTGTCAACTGAGTGTGTCTGTCTCAGTATACACTACAACTTTCCTGTATGCCCTTTGTCCAGAGCAGGAAATGTGAATGTAAGGAATTGTTTTAGGACAACAGGTAATTATATTTAAAGACCAGTCTGCCTACAGTGGTAGGAGATTGCTGTTCAGTTTGGAGAGGACACGCACGCTTCCTCTCCCTCACTTGTGTCTGATCCCCGTTGCCTGACAGCTAGCAGATGGTCTTTCGAAAGGCTGTTTTCCGGCCAATATATAAATCGAGCCAGTAAGGATGGGACAAGTTACAGGAGAGCTTGATTTGACACTGGTTGTCAGAAAGACTAACATGGGCAGGAGAAAAAGCACAGAGCCACTGTGCAGCCTGTCTCTGCTCATTGTAACTAGCAGTGTATGTGCATAATGAGTGTTAGTAATGAATGGACTGTAGCCTTCTCAGGTTATCTGGGTTTAATATGAACATACCCCAGCGCTGCATTCTCCCCAGCATCCTTTGGTAGGGGGAATCGTGCTCTGGTGGAAGAGCCTAACTGTCCAGGCTGGCTTGTTGGAGATGACTGCAGAAAAGCCTTGGTGAATGGTGGAGATAATTCTGTGCACCCACATGATGTTATTTTTTTCCATTAGAAGCTGTCGGGCTATTCTGTGTGAAATGCTGGGCACTGACATATATCTGCAAGCATCACTTAGGAACGTTCTTCAGTACTTTTTAACTTCTTTCTCTTCCATCCCCTATAGGAAGGAAGAGAGATGCTGTAAGTAGGACCACCACCATCATTGTAGCAATGAGTGTCTTGTAAGTACTGACTTGCATAAAAATGTGTCTTGACTCAAGCTCATCTTGGTCTTTATCTGTATTTGTTTGTATCTCACTTGCATGTTAACATTGCATATAGCATGATAGATTCTGACACAAGTTGAATGGAGCACTCAGGTATAGGAGGGGAATGGATTGATTTAAGAAGCGACTCACAGAATGAAAATGCTGACTTGTCAAGCTAGTCTGCCTTGCAGGTTTACTTAGGCCTGATCCTATTAAAAAAAAAAAAAAGTCTAGAATGTACTTATTTTCTCCTAGAATGATTCTCTTTTCTTAGCTGCTTTTAGCCCAGATCTTGTTTCTGAAGCATTGAAATTGTTACGGGACTTGATTTTCGTTCTCTTCTCTCTACAGTTTGCTGCTCTTGGTCTTGCTGAATATAACACTGTTTCTCAAACTGTCAAAGATAGAGCATGCAGCTCAGTCCCTCTATCATGTCCAGCTTCAGGAAGAAAGCTCTCTGAAGTAAGTTGAATTTACAATCTTTCGTTTCTTTCTTTGTCAGCTTATGTGAATCTGATCTAAAGAAATACATTTTGAACACCGAAACTCAGTGCTAAGTTTTCAAAAGCTGCTCTTCTGTGGTCTGTGCTGGTATCCAGTGACATGTCTGACTGCATCTTGTAGTAATAAATTTCTCCTTCGACAAGCTGTTTTTTGGGGGAGTGTTAACCATAGCTTGCATTTATCACCCTGCTGTGACTCATCTTCTGTGAATATCATAGTGCTGATCACAGAACCAAAGTGTTGGATTGATACTGTGTGAACCAGTATGATCTCAAATGTAATGTTAAAGATTCATTTAGCTTTTTAGCCTCTTTCTGTGAGTCTCCTGCTAAATCTCTCCCCCTCAAACTTCCGTGTTAGGTGCCTTTTGTATTCAGACACATGGGAGAGGCTCAGATGTTGCTTTCTCTCTTGAATACAGCGTCAGCAACAAGTTAAAAACTGTAACCTGATCCTGAGTATGGAAGTGGTGTGGTAACCTTCTTCATAAGAAAGATCTTCGCCTCTGAAATGTGAGAACTGACGTTGTAGACACATAATGCAAGCACATTTGTTCTTGGTGACTGTCTACAAAGGTCTGAGGCAGTATCTTTCAAGCTAACAGAGACTGAAATTCAAATGCAGGTGTCTTTTTTTTTTATGTGGCTTTTAGGAAAGGATGCTCTTAGCAATGGCAGAGCAATGGTGGCAAAGAGCAGTTGCTTTTAGAAAGGCATGGAGGTGCTTGTTTCATGTTTCTGAGGTAATCACAATCTCTTTCAGCATATCCCCAGAAATGGTATCAAAAGAGGAGATCCCTCAATATGATAAGGAACAGGTTAAACATGTGAAGGGAGTTTTGAGAGACTCAATTGAAATGCTTGAGCAGGTAGGTCTGCCAATCTTTCCTGGTGATATCCTTGTTTCTCAACAACTCCAGTTTTCTCTCGTATGCCATCATAGTTTTTGTCTGATGTTTTCTGGTGCTAACAGAAGTTTTCATAACTCTTTGATCTCTTTTGTCCTAGGCTTGAATTTGGTACACAGGCAATGCTCATGTTTCTCACATTTTGGATTGGGGTTGGGTTTTTTTGGACTAAGATTAAATATTCATGTCAACTTTATTAAACCTGTCAAGTACCTGTATTGATGAGATGTGTTGATGCAGATTTGAATCATGACAAAGCAAAGACTGGAGTAGTTTGAAACAGATCCTCATTTCTAAGAAGACTCAAAACATAATATTAAGTATTTACCCACCTCATTATGGGGGTTTTTCATTCAGGTTTATCCTGGCTTTTGCTCCCCACTACCCTTCTAGATATTGGGAAGATCTTAGCCTTGGTATCAATGGGCCACCTAATCTCTAGTGAAAAAGAAAAAATCTACAGACCGTATGTTTCTGAGAGACTCCACAGCTATGGTGCTAATCCTCCTTCTCAGGAACTTACACTTCCAGGCTCTTACATATGACAAACACTATGTAAAAAATGAAGTTACTGAATGCTATTGTATGTCTCTGATCCTGAAGTCCAGGACTGGTAAACCCCTAGGCTGAAATTTCAACTCAGTAAGTGAAGGACAGTAAATTAATATTTTGGGGTTTTTTATATATAACCTATGAATGTTCTGATTTTAAGGAATATTTTTTTATTAAATCTTAAAATGTGACAGAAGAAATTATTAGATTAGGAAAGCTGTGGGGGAGTTCACATACTGTACCTCTATCCATCACCAGTTTGCTCTGTGTTCTCCCACACACTAAAGGAGGGTAGAAGAAGAAGCCATTTTTTTTATACTCCTTGTTCAGAGGTGTCTCTGCACACAAAATTGCTATTAATCTGTTAACCATTTTGATCACAACTCGAAAAAGCTGCTGAGTGCTGGAAATTTCACTATAGAAGTTAATTTCCTGTTTTCCATGCCATTTTTATTTTCTCTGCTTACTACCCAGACAGTTCCTAATTCTGAAGAAAAAAAAAAAAAAAAAAAAAAAAAAAAAAAAAAAAAAAAAGCAAAGAAACAACCCCCAAAACCAAAAAAACCAAACCAACCAACCCCTTTTTTCTTTTCTTTTTTTTTAAGAAAAGTTGAGGATTCAACTACCTTTTTCATTTCAAATAACACTTTTGTCTGGAAGTTGTGACACACCTGTGCCTATTACCTTGTTTTTTCTGAGGGTTGTCAATAATCTAAACTTGTTTTGTGCACCAAAATACATTGGGAGGGCTACGTATTAAAAGAAAATTCATGCTTTGCTGCTATGTTCCTTGGAGTATTTGGTACAAACATTAACTGAGTAAAAATGAGTGGGATGGCTTCTCTTCCACACTAATGTCTGGCGAGGTGTTAAAACTATCATACTGGACTGTTAGTAATTATAAACTGTACAGAGTACAGCTGTTAGGACAGCACAATAAGGCAACTGTTTCTAGAAACAGGAGGAAATTGCATGAAATCTTGAAAAGAGATGGAGGAGAGAGACAATATTTCCCTGATATCGCTCAACCATGCAGAGGACTAACTTAAGTAATTGATGGGGTGTGATGGTTGTATCTTCACAGCTAAAGATCTCCCTTTCCATGCTCCAAAGAAGCTTTGACCACTTGAACAGGACACAGAGTAGCAAGACTGAGAGTTAATACCCACATCAGCTTTCTGTTCAGGACGTCAGAAGAACAGATGTGTGTGAGGACTTGTGGGGTAGGATTGTATCTGTCACCTTTGGACTCACTGTTTGGCTCAAAAGTTGCACGGAATAAAGGTTTCTGGAAGAAGTTGGGTTCTGCATTCCTGTAGCCTGGCCAGCTTTCTCTCCTTCCAGCCTTGTGTCCTGGGGAGTCTCACTTGCAAACAGTGCAGAGCTCTCTAATCCCGTGGTGAGTGAGTGAGAACAGTTGTGCTGCTGGTGAACGCATCTGCAGACTTCAGAGGAGGGGGGAACACCCTCAGCAGAAAGCTGGGCTTGGCTTTAATGAAATCTCAGCTTTTTATGTCAACTTAAAAAATAACTGTCCTTGAAGAGTGTTTTGGAGTAAAAGAACAGGTAGTGGTTTCACAGCCACAGGATCTTTATATGCTTTTTTTAGTCGTGGAGACCTTGTAAAACAAGACACCATCTTTAAGGATGAATATTTTTAAGATTAATTAACTAAACAGGAAAACGCTTGATAACGCTTTGCTAAATCTCTTGCATGCTGTGAGCTTTGGCAGCCTGCCTTCTGCCATATGTTTTTAGCTCTCCCAGAGAAATTTCAGCCCTTGGTATTTTCCCTCCGTCAAGAGCTGCTCTTCAGTTCTTGAGCATGGTGTGCCCACTGATGATGAAACACCTTTTCTTCTGGCTTCAAGCTTTGCGCTTTTTTTTTTTTTTTTTTTTTTTTTTTTTC